TTCAACAACTGTCAAACTCCATCCATTCATCCACGCGCCCCCACAGAGATTCCCCGCCTGATTACTTTTTTTTTTTTTTTATAAGTCTCAAGGCGAATATTTTAGTCGAATAGGAAAATCGACTCTTCCCTCAAGGCTACCAACCCAATCAATGAAGTTTGACAGCTACGCTGACGTAAGCGGTTCGCTATCATAGACAAAACAGCTGTCCTACGTGTGTCAGTGTCACGCTCTGTTTAAAAACAAACACTACACGCGGCACGCTCGCTTTGCTCGCTCGGCTCGCGCGTTGTGGTCACAACACTAACCTAACCTAACCTAACGTAGTGTGAAGTATCATCACTTGATAAGAAAAGTAAAAATTTTCAATATTTTTATCTAATAAACTACCAGTGCATGAGTGTGACTTTTTTTTAATAATGTGGTTAACAGAAACCTTTTTAACAACAAAAATGCGAAATTACAACCAACAAAACTGTGAAGTTTTTACTTTTGGGCCCTGGAAGTACAGTATATCCGTATCATTGTCTAGATAATCGAAAATCATGATCAGGTTCCTTACACCATTTTTTTAAATAGTACTTTTTCATCCATATATTGGCTAATTTCGTATATATAGTTTAGTAGTACCTCATTAAGTTACAGATGTAGTTTAGCTTAAGTAATGCTCTGTCGGATGTGTACAACAATGTTATTGTGAATTCTGAATAGTTGCAGAACAATATTGTTTTTTTTTTTCTTATTTCTTTTTTTATATTATAAGATACTTTTCATCATGTGGATTTAAGTACCTACCTACCTAACTAACTGTGAAGTGCTCCCTTGCAATGAATGATCTCTGGACTGTGCAATTTCACATTTTTTGTCTTGTTTCGAGATGTGTCCGTGATCGTAGAGCACCATTGTGTCTACAAAAATATTATTACTATTGTCTTTCCAAGGGCAAGGCCAGGGGGAGGTCATACAGTGGGTACAGATTGTAAAGTGGGTACAGATGGACCCCTTGTGTCTTTCTGTATAAAAATATGTCATGCCTAAGTGAAATTGTGCGGTTACGGCGTGAAACGTCGCCGAGATAATATGTTATTGTAACGACGGCACTGAGAGCTTGTAAATTGTGTTACGATTGCTGTGTAAATGTCTCACTATCACAGCATAGGAGCAGTGTTGTCAGGTCCGGTTTTTCAAAATCTCAAGACCCCCCAAGATAAACTTAATACAATACCAAGACCCCCCAAGATAAACTTAATACCAAGACCCCCCAAGATAAACTTAGTAATTGAGACCAGTAACCACTGTGTTTCTGTGGCTTCTGCGGCCCCATAAAGCTAGTTCTTTTTAGATAATAACATTATTTTAAAATTAATAAGGTCACCTACATTATTAATGGCCGAAAATGCAACTCAACATGCAATTTAAATAAAAAAGACAAATAGTATTTTAAGAAACACAGGAGATTCATGTAAAAACAACAGTAGAACAGGGGAAATTTCAGAAAAACAGGAGATCTCCTGTAAAGTCTGGAGACCTGGCGACACTGCATAGGAGCGAGGACCGCAATGTCCCGGCCACGTGGGAGCCACGCCCCTAAGCTGCTCTGTTATATATTCATTGATTGTTAATTAATTCGTAATCTATTTGTATTAATTGTCATCTAGGTTTTTTCGGGGATTTGTGAATTCGTTATTATGTGAACACTTCTTTTCGTTTATCTCTTTATCTCTTTGTGTCAATTAAACGCGAGATTTCTTCGTTTATTCGATTATTTTAGTAAGAATAAGTTTTCTTTTTAAACGGAAATTTTAAAAATAATCGTTTATAGCAACAGGTCTGTTGTACCACGGCAATATGTATCGAATGGTGGTACACTGTCTAAGTTAAAAATTTTTTATGTATAAAAAGTATTTTTTCTTCTTATGTAATTTAAAAATTTCTTTGTATAAAATAATTGTAAGTTATTCAAAACGCACCTTGGTTGTATATTTTGCCAATTAAATGGTAAAGTGCCAGTTTATTCGATGTGTAAATTTGTAATTCGTATATGAATCTGAATAATTGTATGGTATGATTGCCTTTTGACATTTCGACAAACAACTTGTTGAATGTTGTATCTAAATTAAATGCTTGTGTCGTTCAAACGTCGAGTGGTGGCTCCTGCGTGCACCGGGTTTTAGTTATAGATACATAAATACACTTACGGCTGATTATAATATATAATACATTAAATTCAGATTGTTCCAAACAAACTTATGGTTTTCTTTTCTTCGAATTCCACGTCCATTATGTATGCTGACGCTGACGTACTGTGTTATGTTATTTGTCGTCACTACCTTTTAATCTTGCTTTTGATGTATGACTATTGATCAATAAAGTCAATTGTTTTTAATTAATTATTCTTTTGATTCTTTCGTCCGATGTCCGCGTATGTACAGGATTTTAGTTTGTACTAGTGATCTAATAGTTTTTGTGCAATAGAATATAGCCTATGACCAACGATGTTAAATACCCTAGACACACCACGAGCGCTCAAAATGTGTCCCAATCAAGAAGTGCTTGAACTCCACTCAAGCACTTCTTGGTTCAGAGTCACGCGCGGACCGTTACAAAGTCAAGATGCAACTTGCTCTGCTCTGCGAAAAAATGAGAAAATAATACTTAGAGTACGAAAAGTGTCGTTTTTTCGACAGGTATCTAGTCAATGTTTGTTAATTTAACGCATTTGAAGTAAATTTTGATGTAATACTTACTATAAACTGATTTAATATAAAATATTTTTGATATTCAAATGCATGGTCGATTATACGTCGCCATATAGCCGTCTCTTTTTCTCGCGGTCCGTGTCTGCTATACTGCTAACAACCCGTTCAGAATTGCGCGTAGAGTCAAAGAACTAAGGTCTAAATTCTTCCGCATATAGCAATGTCGTAAAATTTTACGAGCTTGCATTTCGAACTGTCAGAGGTCCTTGACGCATGCGTTTTATTTAAAACCTTATATAGTATATATTAAAGGTTACTATCAATGTTTACATAATGCCTTATATTGTTTTTTGACTACGCGATCATCTTACGGAGCTCCGTGGATCGTTCAATGTACCTTTTGGACAGGTTTCGGGCACGATTTTGTTCGTGTTGGTGTATCTAGGGTATTTAATATCGTTGCCTATGACACTTTCAGTAATTTCAAAATCTAATAGATCCAAGATCCCCACCCCCATCCCCCTCCCACTACAATCTCACAAAACTTAACTTAATATTACTAGCTGTCCCAGCGAACTTCGTCATCATCATCATCATCAGCCTATCAATGTCCCTACTGCTGGGGCACAGGCCTTCCCTATGGATGGAATAGGGAGATTGGGCCATGACCCACCACGCGGGCTCAGTGCGGATTGGTGGGTGCTAACGACTGCAAATGCAGCCGGGACCAACGGCTTAACGTGCCTTCCGAAGCACGGAGGAGCTCGAGATAGTAAATTTTTGGTCACCCATCCAATGACCGACCACTGCGAAAGTTGCTTAACTTCAACAATCGCAGCCGAACGCTCTAGCCACCTGCGCCATCGAGCTCCTCGAACTTCGTACCGCCATAAAAATATAAGGGTTGGTGGTAGAAGGGCGAAAATTTTGGGTTATATTTTTTTTTGTATGATGTATTTATTTTATTTCTAAACTAGAATACCTCTCACACTTAAGTAACTATCTAAAACTTAATTTTAAAAGATTTTTGAACAACTACTTTTGGTGATCACTTACACAAATGCAAAGCTCAACTTAGGCCTCACTAACTGTACCAAGATATTGTTGATAGAGTGCATTGAATAGTATATTCACGAATATATAAATAGTTACCTTAACATATTAACTATATATACCTACATTATATTGGAATTGTGTTGTTTAGATTATATTGACAACGCTGGACGGTTACAATGAGTTAATCTAAAACAGCGTATAAAATTTAATTTGTGTACGGTATATATTTTGGTCAACCTTCGCACTACAATCTTTATGAAGCTGGCTGTACACTAGATAATGCAATAAGATTATTGTATTAGGAACTTCTGAAACAATCTTGTTTGAAGCCCTCTAGCAAAACCTGGTAAAACCATATGTTACCAAAGCACTAACTATAAGGTAATTTACTACAGCTGGCGCCATTGTGCTAAAGTTTACACCTCATTACCTAGATGGCGTTACGTGGGCCTATAATGTCCAAGGAAGTTGCCTACACTGTTAGGCACACCGCTAACAGGGAAAGGCGCGGCGAAAATAATATAAGGTTAGTAATTTAAGTTACAGCCTAACTCCTATATCATAAGTTTAATACCTGCCATAGGGTACGGCCAGAGTGCACTCAGATTCAGACTCAGAAAACAAGCGCGAGAAATATACAGTGTAGTTTAAGCAGGTTGCCTGCTGCCACTATGGCCACCCTGCTTTAACTACACTGTTTATTTCTCGCGCTTGTTTTCCGAGTCTGAATCTGAATCTGAGTGCACTCTGGCCGTACCCATACACACTACGAGAAATCGTTACGATCAGACTGTACAGTTCGAACGGTACAGTTTATACGATTTCGTTTAGTATATGAAACTGTGCAGTTTTATAACATACACGCTACGATTTATCGGTACCGTTCGCACTGTACAGTCTAATCGTAACGATTTCTCGTAGTGTGTATGGCGGGTATAAAATTTTCGGTCAACATGAGACAATCCCCGCGCGCCGCTCGGTGGCTCTTGTCAGCACTTAGTTTCATCCCGTGTCTCTCCTCCCGTGGAAACACATATTATAGCTCGCATAAAATCACTGTTTAGGTAGCTCATCTTAAAATCAGGAATTGCTTTCTCATTTCCATTAAACCACTCAGAGATAAGTTTGATTCAAGGCGAAGCTGTTCTACCCACGTGACTTTACTAAGGATTTGAGTCGATCGCTGACGACTACGGTCGTCACATTTCTTCGGAGCAAAAGGTATAAAATAAAACTCAAATATTTCACTATTTTTGTATATTCATTCAGACAACGGTACACAGTGACATAACGAACTTAAACATTACTGAATGTGATTGAGACGTACTACTATAATATATCGAAATAAAGAACATTAAAGTATTTTTAACTGTTTAATAGGATCCCGTAAACTACATTGATGCAATCTGTCAACTGTTACATTAATAAAGAATTACTTACAGCAAAAATTTCGATTATATTGTACTTGACATAAACACCGCCTTAGAATATGTTTCGTGCTAAGCAAATTTCCTAAAGTCGCTTCAGGCAAGTATCTCAGAGCAACAATGGTGGTTTATAAAGCGTTCCTCTAACATTCAGATCACCCCTTCCGCTCCTACGACGTGCAGCGATCGTGAAAGGAGATCGACCGTACATTGCAACGTCTGTTAGCGTTAGATATTACAAGACCACATATCAATCCTCTGATAATTGCAAATTAATATGAGAAACAAACATTTCTATTCATACAAACATGACAAAAACTTTTCCAATTAAAAGCCAGCCAACTATTTGGAGTGGGAAGAAATAAATTTAAACGCATAAGTTAAACTGTTAAACCTTAGGCCCAATAATACTGTAGTTACGCCCAAGGCGACTCTATGCAGATACTTGGAAGACATTCCCGTATACACTTTGCGATGAAAATATCGCTATAGATCTTACTAATATAGATATATTCTTCGAGCAGCAGAAACGAGTCGCCTCGGGCGCAGAGCCGAAACAAAACACTTCTATACATCTGAACTGCAGAAAAATAAAGCGACACAGCTGTCACACATATCACAATACATTAATCAATATATTTGTCAGCATTCAAATAATAGGTAACGAAGAGTTTTATCCTAAGCCTGACATCGATTTCCTTTAATAATAAATGCATTACGATTGATGTTTAAGATAAAATGGTCTGGAACAACGCTATACTATGTTATGTGAAAGAAACAGCTCAGATAGTCGAATGCTCGATTGGAAAATGAGATCGATTTTTTTTATACGTATTTAAGCTCCACAGAATCACATGGCTGCCTCAGCTACAAAGTCGCAGTCCTTAAGATTATAATTTGCTTACAGTAAAACGTGTTGATAGGGATGATGTTAAGGTAAAATAAACGGAATTATTTTTAGTCAGCTATTTAGATTTAAAAAAAAAATGAGCACGTATTTTTTTGCTTTCATCAATGACAAAGATAACGTCGTCGTAAGTGACGTCTTTTCGTCGGCATGTAACATTTCATATCCATATATATCTACTATATAAAAATAAGTCGGGTTTTCCTTCCTGACGCTATAACTCTAGAACGCACGAACCGATTTCCACGGTTTTGCATTCGTTGGAAAGGTCTCGGGCTCCGTGAGGTTTATAGCAAAAAAAAATCAGGAAAAATAAAAAAAAAAATATTTTAATCACCAAACGAAATGTTACATAAAACGAAGCCATCTGGTGGCGAAACGGAGTTCGCCGGGTTTGCTAGTCTATGTATAGTTTTGATTAAGTGAAAAAATACGTGTCCAATGGACGTAGAAAGAAAAGTGTCATCCCTATTCAGCAAACCATCAGATTTGCTTACTTGCTGGTGGAGTGGTGTGGAGTGAGGCAAGGCGGCGCGAAATGTTTACAATACTACAAGTTGAACATTCAATAGGAATCGGAACGGTGATACGATGACCACGGGGTATGGAAATGAAGACAGATCTCTCTTAACAACAATAAATCGCTTCAGTAACATAAAAACTAACGACATCCATAATCGCTATGAATACAAATGATATTGTAACACAAATCTATGGAACTCTTTGATGTCCTTTGTTGTCACTGTGATATTTGGCAATCGAACAACCTAAAGCCAGAAACATATTAACGTGTCGTGTCGTGTCGTGACGCGCCAGAATCACATCGGTTTTATACATTTACTATATTTAGTGATATATTTACGTGTCGTGTCGTGTCGACTCTCTTATCTCTCTAACTCTTTCTAACCCAAAATAAATGTACGAAACCGATGCGTCACAACACTCCACGACACATTAATATGTTTCTGGCTTGAGGGTCACTGCGCAGATTTCGAGCTCGGCTAAACTTTACACTTGGCGATATTTTCCTTGGTCGGTAGTACGTACGCTCCTTCACAGTGTCAACAAAATAAACTGTTTCGCTCCACACATTTCTGTGAAACGGAACGTAAACCAGTCAGTCAGTACGTTTGCTAGTTGATATGCAATTCAAATTATGTCCTTAGAGCCAAAAGCAATGATAATTCTTACGATACTATTGTCTGATACCTACCACAACAGATATCCACATAGTCTTACTAACTAAACAGTCACATTTAACACACTGTTATTAACTTAGAAGATTGAAAAGGAGGATTGGGTATTTGTAACAAGAAATATCTTATAAAGGTAGGTATCGTAATAAAATAACATATTATTTTGAGCCCGATTTGGCGTTAAGACAATTTAATCTAAACAAAATAAATAATACACGATGAAAGTTCTATAAGAATAGGTATTTAGAAGGAAAAAATATAATTGTTCTTTAAACATACAAACGATAATATTTATCACAATGAACTAAAAAAAAGTGAGAAACAGTAGTTGTCATGCAATATTATATATATAACACATCGTGATAATCGCCAGTAATGATTCGATAACTATAAAAAAATCATAAATTAATATCTATTTTTATAAATTACCAACCGAAACCGCCTCTTTAGGTTTATAATAATAATACAAGTTTATTTACTTTACTTAACTATCACGAAAATAACATTAGGTAGGTACTCACTAATGTAATCCGAAATTCTCCGATACAATAAATTAATTAATTATAACTACAAAATCCACAATTTGATACAAAAATTGAACCGCACTCGATCGATACAGCTCAAACAAAAATGGCACTATGCAACTTATGCATTGTTTCCTTATGGATTTTTGTCATTTGGAAGGAAAAAAAATATAGAATCAATTTTGACGCCGAACAGTCATCTAACATTCGCCTGTCAGGGTATTACCACTTCGGCCGAATATATATTTTATGTATATTTTTCCCTATATATAGTCATATGTATTTTTTTTTATATAATAATTTTGAATTTTCATTATTCTAACTTTTTTTTATAGTTAAGCACGTTCAGTGCGCGCCGATGGCGGCGGCCGGGGCGAGGCGCGCCGGGTGCGGAGGCTGTATGCCGCACGCCACTAACAATCTTACAACAACACGGGTACGGTAATATTAACATTACCGTGCCACGGGCGGCCGGCCGGCGCCATCGCGCGCGACTCGCCTATCATCGCCGCACGCATCCCAACACTTACTGTGGTCAAAAATTTGGAAGGCACTTTCTACTTTTTTTCAAAAATTTTAAATTTTAATTTACTTTTTGAACACATTAGCCTAGACTTATACAATAGAAAATATGCGTAGTAACATTTACCAAAAATTACGCAATTCTTTCCGAAACGCATAGGCCATTATATAACTTTTTTAATTTCTTTTTTCACCTAGAATAAACTTTATTTCCAAAAGGACAGCCAAATAGATTCATTACTAGATCTGAATGCAAATCATTTTTTTTTCTTCTTCTCTTATTTGGTCTTTCTTTACTCACTAATTCCAAAGACGAACCGATACGGATAATCCAAATACCAAATTAAAGTGAAGTATCAAGGCCACTTGGAGACTTATATTAAACACCGTCGATCGTGTTTTGCGACGAGACATGCGCAGTAGCGCCCCTTTCCCCTCAACAGACACATATAAGAACGCCAACGATAGTCCGCCAACAATATCTAATGGTATACCCTTGCGGCAAAAAGATCGGTGATGGTTAATTTTATGCCGAAACTCTCGAACGAAACCTTAGTTTAAAACAAATTTGTACAAATCAAAGTGTTTCACTGGTAGCAGCGAGCACAATATGTCAAAATGATGCTCCGATGCTATGCTAATATTGAAATGTAACTGTAGCCACGAGTAGGGACACGAAAAAAAGTATCGATACTTTGTGGTGTCGAGTACTTTTCCTTTCGATACCGATACTTTTGTACTCGATACTTTTACTAAATGAGTACTTTTTGGCAAGTATCAATACCTACCTTACAAATTTTGGATAAGCGCCTCATATTGATGGCAACACCATCTTAAGTTAAATCATAGCAAACCTTCTAAAACGTTCCATTGCGTTGTTATAAAGTCAGCAACTGACATATTCAATTTCTTTCCAATCTGTGACTGTGTTTATTTTGCGCTTTGTTTTGTTTCATAGTTATTTATTTAGCGACCACATTATTAGGAACTGTGATTGATTCGCCGTTTATTGTGCTTTTCGCTTGACTGTATTCGTTTGAATTTGTATCTGGGCTTGCTCATCAGGCCACAGAGGATCCGATAAGGCCCTAAGAAACGTACTCGATACTTTGAAGTATCGATACTTTTGTTTCAATACTTTTACGAGTACGATACTTTTTTACAGTATCGATACTTTCTATTCGATATCGTGTCCCCTCCCTAGCCACGAGCGGCGGGCTGCGCCGGCGCCGGCTCGACAGTACGACCTTTGCTGCGAAAAATGCGTAAGCTGTCACGATACTTCCATGACAACATATGAGTTTGACAACTCTCTACATCATATAGTCTCAATTATTTATTTTGACATAAAATTCTATACACAGAGTTATAATATGGGTCTCGTCCGCTACGGGCGAGCGGCGAAGAGAGAACCCCATAATGCAGAGTAAAATTCAATGTTCGTATAATATTGACCAGTTGGTAGAATACACTCCTTAATCGCTAACACTGATATTGTTACTACTTAAACACAGAAGAATCTGTCGATCAGAGTAAAGTCGAAGATTGTGATTACGTTCGAGCGGGGGAGGTCGGTCGAGCCTCAGAGTCTAATTTAACCTAACATTTGGAACGCTCACTACTGGCTAAAGATTACAATCTATATTACATTTGGCGACCGCTATAAGTCTATCGCTGCGTAGGGCGGTCGAGCGCCCACCGCGATCGCTATAAAGAGACAATGACATTCATCCGACGACAAATCAAATTATATTATATGTAGATATATATCCCTTTAACATTATCATCTAAGATTATTTCTCGTTTTACACAATTAGTTTGCTGAATTACAATGAATAGGTATACCGAACAGTCTTTTGAATCGGGCCGAATGGTTTAAATTTTGATCTCCTTACATACTTCACAGATGAATCTAAGATGTAACATTATATTTAAGCCTATGTTTCACATTCTACTCATGCGCAGGTGGCGGGGAGCGCTTGAGGGCGCTCCGCGTCACCCGCCTCGCTTACGATAGGTACAGTAACAAAAGATACATGTCACCAGAACACATGCATAAACGACGATGTATACAAGAAACGTAATTAATTATAATAATAAACTAAAAATATTCCTTTTTGCATTAATAATACAAAACTCGTAACTAAACAACAAGCATTTTATTGCACAGCGAGTCCACTTTAAATAATAATCAATCAATCAACTAAATATGAATGTAAATCAATGCCGATATTATCGAAACGATCGAAGTCCCGCGAGCGCGGCAGTCCTTCCGCCGTCGGGGCGGTGGAATGTGCTCGTGTGATGCGTCATGCGCCGCGCCGCCTAGAAGTAGCCCACGGAGTTGCGGTTGGGGACGAAGTAGGGGTAGGCGGCGGGCAGCGTCGGCGCGATCGGCGGCGCGTGCTGCGGCGCGTGGTGCGGCGCGTTATGCGGCGCGTTATGCGGCGCGTTATGCGGCGGCGGCTGCGCGGGCAGCGGCACGAGCGAGGCCGTGCCCACCGCCGCCGCCTCGCTTCACATGTGCTCCGCGCGAGCTTCCCCCGCCGCCGGCTCGAGTTTCACAGGCAGCGGCGACGACAGCTCCTTGCCGCCTTTCCCGCCCGACAGCGGCGTCTTCGGCGGGCCCATCTCAGTCATTTCCGCCACCGCGACCGCCACCACGTCGCCCCCGCCGTAGCGGCTATCCGGGCGCGGCGACGCGAACGGCCGGAACGGATCCGCCGGCTTCGGCGGCTCGAGCGCGTGGCCCGGCGGCGGCGGCGAACAAAGCGGCGACTCGAGCCCCGCAGACAGCGGGGACGGCAAACGCGGCGATTGCAGCGGCAGCGGCGGCAGCCCCAAATGCGGCGGATGGTCCGGCGGTCTCTGCGCCGCCACCACCATGTTGCACATTTGACGGCGAAGCCCGTGAGCCACCGCGGCGACGGCGGCGGCGGCCGCAGCGTTCGGCGAAACGCCGCCGTCGCGCCCGTTGCCGCACGCCGCGTTCCCATACGCGTTCGGCACCGCGATCCCGTCCTGAAACACGCAACCGTCCGTACAGTACACGTCTGGTGTCTAACTATCGAAACCCGGAAACAAAGTCGCCCAGCTCATAAGGAACCCAGAATCGCATCGCATCGGCAGTTGAGAGATCGCATCGGCAACGCGTGTTAGACATGTTAGCTTTGGTAATGCTAGTGTACTGACCGTGATAGAGGGGTAGGTGAGGACCTCCTCCTTGATGTGGTGCGCGGGGTGCTGCGCTGGGTGAGGCGCGTGCGTGTCGCGAAAGACGACAGCTCGGATGACGCCGCGGATGTGCTCGTCGGGCCAAACGCCAAGCAGGATGCGTTGCGGCCGCCCGCGACCCTTTGGCCGCAGATCTGCAACACGCGCAACAGTCAAACGTGAACTATACGACCGACCTACGGGGACCGGAGACAGCTCCGCCTGTCCAGGGCTAGCTGGCGACAACGCTTATATGTAAGACCGATGACCTTATAATTTGATCCATGCGCATTCTCCAGGGGAGGGAGAGTCCTGGTGCTCTGAGATACAGGCGTTCTGTTCAGGCACCAGTCTCTCACAATCTATTCAATGTTTCTATATAAGAATTATAGTATGATAAGTTGTCATGGGATTTGTAGATTGTGGAAGAAGAAATAAAGATTATTATTATTATTATTATTTCACATTAAATAGTAATAATAATAATTTATTCCCAATTTTTTTATACAATATGGTTTTACAAATAACAGGCACAGGATATTTTAAAGCTAAGCATCTGTGGGTACTTAAAATAGGAGAACCCTGTGACTTAAGTACCCACTCTCTTCCAGTGACACAATATAGTAAATTTACAAGATACCACATTGATTAGAAAATATGATTTTTAAATGAAAAAATACAGGGATATCGTTTCAACCGAGACAGTAAATTTTTACTAAAACAGCTTTTACTTTTTACTGACAGTTTATCAAATAGTATATTACAATAAATAAAGCCGCATAATATCTGAAAGGAAGGTGATATTTCAGTAATTTGCAGAGCTGCAGGAGCACAAAGTTAAAGTGAGTGCTTAGCAGACAGGACACGGCATGTGTCAAATTTAAAAGTAGTTTGAAGTTACAATGAACCTTTTACACATGAATTGTCCGCTTCATTTTGACAAGGTAAAGAAATCAGTTATATAACAAAACTAGCTGACTCGGCGAACTTCGTACCGCCCAAAAGTAATAATTTGCAATAAATTAAAATTGCGACTATAATTTGAGATTTAAACTATCCTATCTCTCAAGTTGGATCGAACTGCACATGGTGTGCGAATTTTATTATAATCGGTTCAGTGGTTTAGGAGTCCATTGAGGACAAACGAAATTTTATTTCGTAATTTATTGTTATACTTAAATTGAACAATAAACTATCAAAATCATTTTTTCGTTGAGAGACTTAGCTTTAAGCCTACTCAACGAAAATTGTATATTTTCGAGCGAATGAATGTTATTAACATTAAAAACTGTGCAGTTGCGATCGAAATTACGTTTTTCGTTGAATTAGAATAAATAGATCTCCTGTTATTTAGTAACTACACTACTATAAAATCATCAGCAATGACAAATCCCAATCCCAATTATATTTGAAGTACCCCGTAAGTCTTATTTTTACCCGACTGCGCAATGCAAGAGCGCGAAGCGCGACGCGCAGACAGGGTATAGTGTTTAACAGTCTATATATGTATGTTTGTTCCTTTGTGGCACACTAGAGACAAAACGCGTGGACCGATTTTGATGATTTATACATCAATCGATTCGTTTTAATCATAGGAGTGCTACTAAAGATATGATAGTAGTCAAAATTCAACATGGACACAATTAGGCGCCATATTGTGACGAAGTAAAAAAAATAAGTCGACGAAATATGTCGAGTGGGGTATCATTGGTAAAACTGTACTTCCAGGGCCCAAAAGGTGATACTTGTTTTTTTTTGTAGAAAAGGTCTTTTTAACAGATTTTTTTTTTCTGGCGCTTCGCCGGCCGCTGCCGCGGCACGCTCGCTTTGCTCGCTCGGCTCGCGCGTTTTGGTCACAACACTAACCTAACCTAACCTAACGTAGTGTGAAGTATCATCATTTGATAAGAAAAGTAAAAATTTTCAATATTTTTATCTAATAAACTACCAGTGCATAAGTGTGACTTTTTTTTAATAATGTGGTTAACAGAAACCTTTTTAACAACAAAAATGCGAAATTACAACCAACAAAACTGTGAAGTTTTTACTTTTGGGCCCTGGAAGTACAGTATATCCGTATCATTGTCTAGATAATCGAAAATCATGATCAGGTTCCTTACACCATTTTTTTAAATAGTACTTTTTCATCCATATATTGGCTAATTTCGTATACATGTGTGTCTTGGTACTTATGTTATCCGTACGTGGACTACTAATACAGTAATTTTTATTCGACATATAAAACTCATATTTAGATGAATTCACAAAAGTACATCGATAAATTCTTCACAAGCGCCAAGCTTTTACAATAGCTTAAACTAAAGAGAGCACACAGAAAGTTAGAGCATTGTTACAGTATTCGCTTAGCTGGTGTAATTATTCGCATCGCATTTCGCAATAACAATGAAGAAAATACCAGAAAGAGATTGAAATTTATGTCATATCAGTAAGTAGTTAAAAGATTTCTGATCCATTTACAGACAAACTCTAAGTTGCAGTTCCCTTACTTATTAGAGAATATAGTGTACTAATTAATTTGTAGGATAGGTTAGATAAGTAACATATTACTCAAAGTTTGAAATTTATTAAAAACGAAGCGTTTTCTTATCGGCCATAACACAAATTCTGTGACCACGACATTTCTTTAGAAAAATAAAACCATTTATCTGAATTGAAAAGAAAAAAAGTAAAAATTGTTCAAACGATATAATTCTATTAAAATAGTACTGATTAAATACTCTTTCAGTCATGACTCTTGGACTGTATTTCACAACTTTGAAAACATCGAAAAGTTTGTTAATCAGTGACTGAACCGCAGATTAAATGAACAACAATGTAACATCATATTATTTAAACAAACTGTTCTTCCTCCGCAATCAATTAGATCTCAGAGAAAATCTTAAATTTCACTAATTTATTCATTCAGATTTGTGAGAGTGAAATTTTATCTATTCTAAATCTAAATAAATCTAAATATAGCATCTATATTTAGAACCTAAACAAGATCAGAAATCTTAGAACTAAAGACATTCATCTAGTAAAATCATGTCGTACATACCGGCACCGCCGTCAGCGCTGGGGCCCAGCATGTTGTGAACTCTGTTCGCGTACAGTACGAACGTTGGGTACGGGATGTCGTACTTCCGCGCCGCCTGGGAGAGCGACAGCCCCTCCTTCAGCACGGAGAAGATGGCTTCCGCCATTGTCTCCGGCCGCCAGGACTTCAGCGGCCCGCGCTCGCGGAACCGCAGATTGTGCACCAGGCTTTGATTGGTGTTCCAGCACTTCTGCCACATCGACTGAAGCTGGTACTGGTAGCTGTCTGCTGAAAGTAGAGAAGTCGAGCATAAGTATCTATTGCCTAAACAAGACAAAGATGCTTGGGTTTGAACTGTTCCAATCATTCCAACAGGTGTTCTATATTAAATAAATCATGATTGTATTGACGTTGTAACAACATAATGATTTGTAAATGTTGTTACATTATGCTTTTTATGTTGTGGAATTCTTTTCGCTCGTTTTTTTCCGCAGCTAAAAAATATGTCCAATAACGAGTGGTAGGGAAAAAAATGTTTGGACGATTCAAAAGTGTTGTACTATACATCCAATTTGAATAAAGATATATTGATTTCTGATTTCTTTCTGTTTTGTGGGACACAGTAAATCTTTATTGTGTTAAGTAAGTTCTTAGCAATACACAGAGGGAAGTCTGCATTGATTTTGCTAGTTACATACATGCATAAAATCTAATGGTTCATACGGATCGAATGGCTGTGGGATGAGCTCCCGCAAGTTTCTTCAAAAGAAGTGTCAAAAAGTTTGTATACGGTCGGTGACGCAAGCATGGTGTAACTGACGACCATAGGCCACAGTGTACGCTTCACATCAGGCGGACAGCGTGCACGTTAGCTTCATGCCTTGTGTTTCAAAGTCAACAGAACATTTGCGTACATTAAATTTATTACTAATTGACGTATTAACAGATGCAGATAGTCATTCGTATGCAAAAGAGGCACTCGTAAAAATAAATGGATCAAGTATGAATCTGCGATGGAGCATGCATTATAAGTAGCGCATAAACAGGAGATCGCTCTAATGTAATACAATGGCCTCTATGAGACTTCTTATCATGAATTTGCAATGTAGATAGATATATAAATAAGTAATATTACCAAAAGACGTGAATTAAGTAAAAAACCACTACATACTGACCTCAGGAAGGAACCTGTATCTACAAATAAAAAAGTATTAAGTTCATTATTTAGTGTAGAAAATGAAACAGCAAATAATGTCGTATGTTTATTACAAAATAATTAGACAGTCTTATTAAAAATCATGGCCTCGTAAGTATAAAGATATTAGATTTATTACAATCAACTATTTATAAAAACAAGAATTTAATATAAACTATCTAAATTAATAAATTTGTTTACTTAAAGTAACTATTCTCGCATTAGGAAACTGCTAACCCTAGTTTAAAACCCCCTGTATCTAAAAACACAACTAAACTAAACTATTCCTCATCATTGGATACGATTTCAATGATTCCAAAAAAAATTAAAATCAATATAAATTCTGTGCTCATAATATTTAGTTTTTCACCTTTTTCAAAAAACTCATCTGGATGAAAGTAAGAGTGATCCTCAATTTTCACTATTTTAGAAAAAGTAGCATTTCAGGAAAATCCTTACCTGATTTGATTACAATCTCACAGATCTCTAAAATAAAATAAATTGACATAGTTATCACATTTTAAGTGAAAACTCTGTCATATGAACAAGAGATTTTTTTTTAATTACATTACACGCTAATTGCTATTGCCAGAAAGTACCAGTTAACCTCACAATTGCAATCTTTTAATGTACGATCAGGTTTTTGCATTAGCATTATCTTATGTAAATAGGTTTTGATATTACCATACCATACGGGGACTAACTTATAATTATTTATAATAAATAAGGTATTTCAATTATGGTATTCGAGCCACAAGTAATTAAATACAATATAGATGGATAGCTATGCAAGGTTCTTATCTTGAGCGGGTCTTTGAACGGACTTCAAAATGGACGAGGTTCTCAATTTAGTATTTTTTTTTTTGTATATTTGTTCCGCGATTTCTCCTACAATTTATGGGCGATTTTTTAAAATATTTTTTTAATCGCAATGGTATATCTTATGGGTACGGCCAGAGTGCACTCAGATTCAGATTCAGATTCAGATTCCGAAAACAAGCACGAGAAATAAACAGTGTAGTTAAAGCAAGACTTGACACGAGTGTATTTTATTTAAGTACTTATGCATTAAAATTTTCCAAATGAAAACCCAGCAAGTACTTCTTTTGTAATTCGATAAACACTTCTCGAACGGAATTTCTACCGCGAAACACGTAACAATATACATTTAGTGATGCAACATTAAAATGTTACTTTAGTCAGTGACAGCTTTGAATGAAATCTAACAAGACAACGACACGGACTCATTTCTACGATAAGTTTAAAATTTTGTCTATAGAGCTATGTATTAGTGAGAACTAGCAAACCAGTGAACCAAATGTTCACCAATAAAAAAAAAACAAAAAAAAAAGTATTTAATTAATTGAGAACTTCGGAGATTTTGTGTGGTTTCGTTTGAAATTCGCGATTTCTCGAAAACGGGAAGTGCTACGTTATAAAGTTACGTCTAATAAAAGTTTTATTCTGACGACGAAGCCTGTAAAGGCTACGAAACGTCAATAAATAAATAAAGTTTCGTGCATTAACCCGTAAAAACTAGTTTTATTTAGTGCTACGTTACTGAAATCCGGTTTGTAGTCTTATCAGACTATTCTTAACTTATAACTTAAATATTCTCTTTATCTATCTCTTACGGTTTGGCCGCTGAAACAGCACCACAGACGGATGGACGGACTTGTCTAACAGATAAGCGATATTATAATTTATTGAAAAACCTAGAAAACTCAAAAAATTCAAGTGAGTACTCACTAACGATTAAAAATATTTTTCAACTAATTCCAGCGGGTTCTTGTCAAAGTTTCATTATAACATATCATTGTAGATGTATAAACAGATGCGGGTGGATCGGCCGTCCGTCGGCAGGTGTTTTGTAAACTGTAATTTTATACAACAACACAATAATATCGCTACATTGTTGCAACCAATTCTTGTTAAATTTAAATACATATTTAAAGGCTCAACATTTTTTGTTTACGCTCAAGAATAATTTTATTAAAACAAGTATTTCAGGTGGTACGGCTATAAATGCTCATTGGTATTTTCATCTTACTCCATGGGCTCGGTAAAAATATATCAAATGTTTGGCGCTTTTCAGTTTTCTTTCTAATTTAGATGAGATAGTTTCGCGCTCTGCAAAACGATTAACACTTCTCAATAGGGTATTAGACAGTGTTAAAAATAAAGTGCCAATTGTTAGCATCTGTGTTTAGAATGAATATTAACAGGGGTTTTTACTATTTTTCCAAAAAAATATTCATAATTTTACTAAAAACTAACGAAAAAGATAATAGTTTTCTTATCTATTGTCACGGGACCCAAAACGCTTGGCATTGGCGGAGCCTAAAATGACGTCACACGCAAGTAAACTTCCGGTTAAAGTGACATTACAATGTATCGTTTGACGTTTTAATAACAGTCGTGTGACGACACACACTAGTAAGACGCCATATTGTCCAGAGAAAAGGTATTTGCGGCAACTTGAAAATGAAGTTTTTGATTTGGTTATTTTTACTGAAATACACAACAGAATGACGAATATCCATCCATTTACGGACTCTATAAACATTATGTTTTTTATTTATTTTTAAGCATTTAACTGCTAGATGTTTAAATCTAAAGAAAAGTTTACTAGAAAAAAATCCACGCGGACCAGGCAGCGGACGGGACTCGAACCCGCACCCTTCGCTATCCGGGCGAATGCACTGACCATTATGCTACCACGGCCCTATTCGCCGCGTCGAAATTTTCCTAGCCTTAAGCTGCAAGGCCTGCCTGGTCCACGTGGATTTTTTCCTAGTAAACTTTTCTTTAGATCTATAAACATTAGTCAATAACGTGAGATCGTTTTCTAAAACTTGTCAAATACCCTATTTAAAAGAATTGAACGTTACCAAGTAGCATGAATTTCATTTTCAACATTTGTTAGTCATATCCAGACGAATAATTTATTCATTACTGGAACACGCATCGGTTAATATCAGTCATTTAAAATAGCTGCATCAATTTTTTTACACTTTAATAAATGCTTAAATGTTATTCAGTGACCAGAGTAATTTTTGTTTCCAATAAGTATTATAACTCGTTTGCAACAAGTTAAGTGTCGGCGCGAGAACGGGTTTTTCATATATATTAATATTTAATACTTTTTTATTGCTCTTTAAGCAAGTATTGCCAACGTGTCTTCGACGAGATGCGAGCGAGTAAATAGCGAATAGCACCAAAGGAGATTGGCAGAAAACAGAGCTGTTTGAGCACCGCTTTTAAAAAACTTTACTACGAGAACGCGTAGGGTAAAGAAAGCAGTATATATTTAATAAAAAAAAAATGTAATTACTTTCATTTTGAGAACGTGGGAGTAAAGATAATTAATTTCAAAGTGTTTAAATAATGACTGATTAGATGATGATGATGAGGAGCTTGATGGCGCAAGTGGTTAGCGCATTCGGCTGCGATCGTTGAAGTTAAGCAACTTTCGCAGTGGTCGGTCATTGGATGGGTGACCAAAAATTTACTGTCTCGAGCTCCTCCGTGCTTCGGAAGGCACGTTAAGCCGTTGGTCCCGGCTGCATCTGCAGTCGTTAACACCCGCCAATCCGCACTGGGCCCGCGTGGTGGGTCATGGCCCAATCTCCCTATTCCATCCATAGGGAAGGCCTGTGCCCCAGCATTGGGGACATTAATAGGCTAATGATGTTTAAATAATTGGATTATATGACTAGCAGCGGAGCCAGTAAAGCGTTTAAAAAAAGAAATGTCATGTAACGACACATTGATGTGACACTTAAAACTTTTTTTTTGTATTCGACAAAGAGTTGAACAACTATCCTGCCAAATTCGATGTTGTTAATCTTGGACCAGTTAAAAATATGTAAAGGACATGCAGAGATTTATGGAGTCCAAACGATTTTAAGGAAATCTAGCAGTTAGTGAGTTCTCAATGTGCCTCCCTTCATCTGAGAAAAATATTTAGAGAGAACATTGTGTAGCCACCCTAATTGAGTGTATTATTGCATTTTATTATTACTGATAACTAGCAAACCGGTGAACCAAAAGTTCACCAAAACCTGATTTAAAAAAAAAAATATGTATTTAATTAATTGAGAACTTCGGAG